CCTGGGGGATGGGCTGGATTCTTCTGGAGGCAGCTTAGATCCTGCCCCTCTCAATGACTGGCCTCATCAGTTCAAGCACTTCCAAGCAGATGACTATCTGTGATGGTTCATGGCTCTGCAGTGTACTGCAGTGCTCATTTCTGCCAAGCTGGGACTTTTCACACTTCATTGTAAACATTGCTAACAGCTACAGTGGCTTCTCTAGAGTAATTGGAGAGAAATGGTCACTTATACTATATGGCTCACCTAGGATACTTGTCTACCTTAAGATGAAACAAAATCATGCCTTTGACCATTTCTATCCACTGAATATAAAGAAAGTCTAAATGAGCTCAGATGCAGAAGTCTTCATGGCTGGCATCTAAAATCAGAAGAACCTATAGATTCCACTTCTAAAACCAGTAGGATTCGTTGGCTTGGCCTGTCAGTGCTCTAAAATAGGGTGAAATACAGCAGATTTTAACCTGGAATATCTGAATCTGTATATGAAACCCTGTAGCTCTTACTCAGAACCTCTTACTGTAAATCTTGAGTACCTTAAGCTTGCACTGCAGTATTACTCTCTAATATCTGCAGTCCTCCATAATATACAAGGTTTTTTCCCAACAGTTAGGCATGACTCGGTTTCATCCAGAATAGTGGGAGAAACCCTTGGGCAAAGCTTTGGTTATTTGGGGATTTTCTTATTGCATTTTCTTCTGCTCAGAATTTCTTAAGCCCTCCTATATCTTTTAGTGAAATATGTTTGCACAAACAGAAAGGGGAATGTCTAAGAGATGACAGTTTCCAGTGTGGTGGTATGCTCTCCTCCCCCCGCCCCATAAGAAACGACCACCAGTGGGGGTTGTTGTGGCTGCATCCAGCTCATGCTGGACTTTGGGAATGGATGGCAACACAGTAGCCAAGGGCTGCCTGGAGCAGTGACTCAAACAACTTGCTGATATGCAAATACGACTATAAGTCAATCATCTTACTCTATAAATAGTGGACAGCCCAGGGTCCGTCAAGCTCTCCTGCACGGCAGTGGGCTGCACGCCAGGACCTCCCCTTGAGTAGGGACGTCTCTCAAGGTTACTCCTCAAGGTTGAGAGATTCCTTGCCGCAACAGATCCTGGGTAAGTGACTAATAGCATGCTAAACTTTGAAATCTTAGCTAAGTGATGTAAAGGATTGATTGCGCATATATAACCCTTTAGACATAAACCGTTGACCAGGTCTGGGACTAGGATTGGATCCAGCCGCACCTAGACTCCTCTAAGGGAAGCAGTTTAGAAAGCAAGGAGGTCCTTTCTGAACGTCACGGCTCAACGAGAGGGTCTCCCTGACAGTTTTGTCTGACCCTGTCCTCTATGCAGTAAATAATCAAGTGTACCTTGACATCGAATCTTGTTAAATCACTGTCGCATTTACATTGAATTTTGTTAACTCACACTTCAACTCACTGTTTTCTATCAATAGTGTATTGTTGCTCCTCTCTTACAAGTGAAGTGCAGTCTCACTCCATCCATGACATCTACTCACCATGTCTCATAATTCAAGCTAAGAAATATTCAGCGAAAAAAAAATTATAAAGACAATACTGCTTCATGGTAGGTCTGGTTTAGATGTGGAAGTTGCTGCTGCAGAAACTGTGAGTTGCTGAGCTCAAAAAATTAACAAGATTTAAAGAAACAATTAAGTAGGTAGCAAGACTATCTTGTTATCCTAATAACTCACAAAAAAATCTGGAAACACTTCCTCATCAAAGATAGGTCAATCTTGTCTTATTAGAAACCAGAAGAGCTATGTAGGATGCAAATTATCTGTTACCTAGCACAGATGTTCTGAAACATCTAGCATCAGTCACATTTAGTCACAGCAGACAAAATAATTGACCTTGAGTCTAATCAACTATGAAAAGACCTTTGTTCCTTCTGTGAAGCTTTTTTTTGTACTAGTGTCGCTAGCAAATTGAAGTATTTTACCATATTTGTCTTGCTGCTGTCTTCCAAGCAAGAGCAGCCAAAGGTTCCCAGTGAAGGACCAACATGTTCATACAATGCATCACAAAGGTATTTTGAGTCTGGTACATTTAATTTTTTTATCAGAATAATATATTTGGTATTGTGCTCATTTTAAATACCACATTGCTTGTCACACTACATTTGGCAATAGACCTCTTCAAATATATTTAACAAATTGTTCCATGAGTAATAACTACATATAAAATATTTTCATTGAATTAAAAAAATCCATATGTATTTTCTTCATGAAATACAATATATACATTACGATCTTATAGTTTTAAGGTAAGTCAAAATTTGGGCTTAAACAAATTCACAGTGTCCATTTTACCTCTGTAATAAAAATCTTCACTTTAAAAGTGCCTGGATCTTACACTGTGTTTATGTATTTTCTTACATTGGGTTTATGGAGATTGAAGGTTGTACCACAGTCTACCACTAGACCACAGATCCAAATTGTACATTACAATGACCAAAAATAAAGACTTTTGATTACTGAAAGTGAACTTTGACTGTCCTTGTTACCTCAAGTTCTGACCGACAGATTTTCTGAAGAGCTTGTCAAAGGTGGAAGATCTGCTTTGAGCAGTATGGCCTCTAACGCAGTCATTCAATGAAGCTGTAGTAAGTGCTCACTGCTTCAGAAAACCAGGCCCAAAATACTCAAGTGGGAACCCAAAATCAGTGGCCAGTTCTGGCCAAGGGAGATGGGCAGGAACCATCCAGGAGCCGAAAGGCAGTGAAGTGAGCATCACGCTGCCTTCCAGCCCGAGATCACGCCAACTGCCTTCGTTTTCCACACAATGGCTGACACAGAAACCAGAGCGTTTCTGCCAAAGACCAGCCAGTCGGGTCATCTCACCTGTTGATTACTGCAGGAAATACTGCAGGTTATGAGGTAATGTTTCTTCATGATCAAAGGAGAGTTATGAAACTGGCTATTCTGTAGCTCATAGTTTTTCAGGCCAGCACGCTGTGGTTTTTAATACAAACTGCTCTACTACCTTTGAAAATCTCACTTTCCTTCTCCCTCAGAGGAAGAAGCCTAAGGTTTCTAAACCCTGAGTTCATTACACCTGAGGCCCATGGGACATGGATTGTCCCACATGCTCCATTTGTAGCTAAACTAATTGGCCAAGTAGAAGGCTGAGCAATTCCCCCAAACCATGACAAACACCCTCGGGACAGGCCGATCTTCACAGTGGCTTCCATTGCTCTCCAGGCAGGACACAGCCCCTCACCTCCACCTGTCTCCACGTGATTTTAAAACCCGTTCTAATATACTCTTTTTTTCCCTGAAAATACACAGTGATTTCACCAACAATTTTTTAAAAAAGGACTATCAGTAAATTCAGATAGAAACTAATCTAAACCCATTAAAAAACCACTTCCAGCCTAAAAGGGAGAGGCAGAAACATTCTGATACATTCCACAATAAATAAGTTCCACAAAGCTAATTTAAAAGCAGTTACTGGCAAGCCATTTTCAGCCTTGTTTCCTAAACATACAGGGCTTTTACAGGTGCATTATACATCTTGATGTTCCTGTTACAATTTTTCATAGCCCTTTCACTAATTTCAACCAAGCTTAAAGAGGAGCAGAGCTCCCCAATATAATATATGCTTCTAACAGTCCCAGAATTGGTGGCTGTCAGAAGAGAGAAACCCAAATTACACTATTAACTGAGGGGAAAATTAGATGGAATTTAGCCTGTATCTATCTGGAGAGACAGAAACCAGCTGACTGTCCTGCATGGATGTATTAGCTGGCCAGTCACAACTATCAGCCAGACAGCATGGGCTACCTCTTCTCCAGTTTAACAGAAGGAGACATAGAAGAAGTATTGCAGTGGGCAGGGTGGAAGCGTTGGAGGCTTCTGCTGATGACATGGAGTGAAGATTCTTCATTGAAGGAGTCCTAGGGAATACAGCACAAGAGCTGAGCTTTCTCCAGTGAAAAAAAGGACAAGGGATGCAAATCCATAGAAGATGAGATTTCATGAATTTTTGGAACAACATGTTTTTGTTTGCTAAGGATAGATCTGAAAAAAATTCAATGATTTAAACAAGTTTAACTGTGGGGAAACATGGTTCCCAGTGCATGACATTCCCAGAATTCAGAGAGAGGGTTTGCACCTAACATTTTAGTATCTTCCACCTTAAATAAACATGTTACCAGCTTTACATTCAAACCCCTACCCTACGGTTTGCGAGTTTTAATTCAAGACATAAAAGCTGGAGAACTTGGGAATTCTGAAACAGATTAGAATTTCAAGGATTAATTATTTTGGATTAAAGAAGTTTTCTTCAGGCCTCAGCAATAGCTTTTCAATAAACTTGGTGAAAAATATTTCTTTCTGAATGCACTAACTCCCATTGGAACCTAGGTATCTTTCAGGCTAGTCCAGTGGTGACAGGGATAAGTAGGGAAAAGATATGAGTATTCCGATATCTACCTCTTCAAGGAAACGTTCAAATAAATTACTTTAATATCCTGCACATTTTTAAGAAAGGCAGTTAGTTTTTTGGGTTTTTTGCTAGTTGGGAATGCCTGAAAAATTAAATAGCTTTTGATATAAATATGTAAAAACCTGGAATTTTCCTCTTTTGCTTCATCAAAATATATGTAAGAATGTCTACAAAAGGAAATTTGCAAAAATAACCAGTTAACGTAGGAAAAGTTTAGATTTATGCTTTTAATCTTTCATGACTGGGCTTATAAAGATTCCACTGGAATTCTAAAAGAGGTAAATTGAATATTAAAATTATCCTAAATTAACTCTTCTTCAGCAGGTAAAGAATAAATAAGTATCTTTACTCAAGTGGTATCTCCTCCCTACTGTAGACCCAGAGGATTTGCCACTGTGGTTTTTTAATAAAGAATTGGAATGATTTAATTTCTGAATCTGTTGTAGAAATGTGAGCTAGACTTGAGAAAAACAGAAATATGGCTTTAAGTGAATTATTAACGTTCTGTTGCATTTCTTAAACATTTAGGTTATCTCTTGCTTTCTTCTTCCTTAGAGTCAATTGACAGTTTTTCCCCAAGTTTCCTTATGAGTTCTGCCAGATCTTCGGAATTTTGAGATTTTTCCTCAAGGAGTTCATACCGGAGACTTGAGATGTCCTGTTTGATTTCCTTCAGTTCACCTGTAACAGACATTAGAAGATCACACTATTAAGAAACAAAGGAAAAAACAGCATATCCTCACAGTTATCATGGGTTTTGTCTGGATTTCTTTGTTGAAACAGAAAAAGCGGATGTTCTGCTGCCCATTGGTGGACAGTGGCTTAGGAATAGGAATATGAAGATGCAGTTCAGGAATCAAACAAATTTGAAGGCAAAAGTGTGAGAGATCACATCGATTCACAAAACTCAAATGATCCGTTAGATGGAAGCTGCTGTTCTGCTGCAAGAGAGAGCATAGAATCATAGCATGGAATCGTTTATGTTGGAAAAGACCTTTAAGATCATCGAGTCCAACTGTAAACCTAACACTGCCAAGTCCACCACTAAACCATGTCCCTAAGCACCACATCCACACGTCTTTTAAATGCCTCCGGGGATGGCGATTCAACCACTTCCCTGGGCAGCCTGTTCCAATGTTTAACTACTCTTTCAGTGAAGAAATTCTTCCTAATATCCAATCTAAACCTCCCCTGGCACAACTTGAGGCCATTTGCTCTTGTCCTATTGCTTGTTACTTGGGAGAAGAGGCCGACACCCACCTCGCTACAACCTCCTTTCAGGTAGCTGTAGAGACCAATAAGGTCTCCCCTGAGCCTCCTTTTCTCCAGGCTAAACAACCCCAGTTCCCTCAGCCGATCCTCATAAGACTTGTGCTCCAGACCCTTCACCAGCTTCGTTGCCCTTCTCTGGACATGCTCCAGCACCTCAATGTCTTTCTTGTAGTGACGGGCCCAAAAGTGAACATGGTATTCGAGGTGTGGCTTCACCACCACCAAGTACAAAGGGATGATCACTTCCCTGGTCCTGCTGGCCACACTATTTCTGATACAAGCCAGGATGCTGTTGGCTTTCTTGGCCACCTGGGCACACTGCTGGCGCATATTCAGCTGGCTGTCGACCAACACCCCTAGGTCCTTTTCTGCAGATCATGCAGATCAGGGGTGCCCGAGTCCTCCTGGCCAGCCACAAGGCCTCTCAGTGTCCAAAAGAGAACAGTCCTCTCCTTTTCCTGCTGCACTAAGTGTCTTTCCAGCATCGGGGGGTGCAAACAGACGACAACATTTCTGTGAAGTGCATTCACTAGCTGTTTCCAGCTAATAAATCACACCAAAAAAAGGCTGAAGTGTGTGTATCCCCATATATGAATCCCCAATGAGAACACATATCCACACAAGGAAGAATTCATACAGGAGTGCCCCAAACCAGCTGCTGCATTAAATGCAGCCTCACCACGGGAAATGCATGGGCATTACTAGAAGTAGCAACAATTTTCACAAGAAGTTGTCAGATCAGTGATAGTTTCTGATGGGAGAGCAGAGACAGAAAGTCACACCTCTTCCTTAACTTCAATTTCATGTTAATTTTACATCTTGCACTTGTAAACATGTCAAGTGGATTAAGTATTTTGGAAACATTTTTTTCAAGTGGCATATGTAAGCACTTTAATTACTTTGTTTTGATTCTCTGATTAGAGAGAAACATACAATTCATCAACATACTCACCTTCATTGACTTCATCACTTTCCTTATCTATCTGAGCTTTCAGTACATATCTTTTAATGAGACGCTTCATTATTTTCTGCAGAGAAGATAAAAAGAAAAAAAGAGTTTTCTTAGTTGGACTTCCTAGTATTGCTGACATTTCAAAATATGAGCTGTTACCTTCAGATATTTCAGTGTAGGACTTACTAGGTTAAAGGAATATAATGTAAAAATCTCTGCTTTCATCTACAGTAGATATTTAAACTTTATGATTCTGCACATATATGTACATGAAAGTTAGAAAACTAAACACATCTTATGAATGTTATCATTCACAAAGCTTAACCTACTACTGGAGTCTATGAGAATAATTAATACAGTTGCAGCTTTGATCTCCATGTAGGTGAAACCATCTAGTCTTTATTACTACCAGAAGATGATAATGACCCTGATTAGCAGTGCTAATTGCTAAACCCTTTTGCCATCAGTTTATTTTAATCTATTTTCTATTATATTTGATGTTATCTTTTCCCGATGTAAGGCTTAGAGAAAATGGGACCCACAATTCTGAGAGTCATTTAAGCATCTCAGCTGGGACTCATCTAACCAAATACAGATATTTTCTAATGTAAATATACATATCTGTGGCAGTCACCTTTAATTTCCTCTATGGATAGAAAAAGCAAACCTGAGAGCACAGTTCATCTCAGACAACTAAAATTGGTCAAATAAATCATAGCATTAGAATGACAACTCTCTCTGCTAACAATAAGGGGAACCTAGGCCAGCAAATTTATATGTAAATTTTACCTTTCCAGGAAAAATGGATTCCACCCCTGATTCTCCCATTAGTTCAAATTACTTGAATAAGAACAAGGTATCTAACTACCTTTGAGGATCTGTCTTTCTATCTTTGGGTTTAATATTTTTACATGGTGTAATCCACGACAACACAAAACTTTTTGGTTTTCACTACAAGATATAAAATATACATAGGTTTATGTGTCTGCTTTTGTCTCCACAGTAATAGACCTGACCAGAGGTGGTTGTGAGGTGAATCATCCCAGATTAATGGTTCCAGATCATCACTACAGTCATGCTTGCAAGGTCAGCATCTGTACTGTTTATTCTAATAATCCAAGAATGTTTCAAATACAAAGCCACACATCCTCACGTTTATGGGATAAATTTGTAATCTTAATATTTATCACTGCATCGTAATGAAATTGGCTGTGAAAAAGTCAGGGAGTTTCTGGAATAGACTTGTGCAGACGCTGCATAATATAAGAGTGGAGCAGAGCTCAAGGGGAAAAACTTTTTTCTGTCTTATGGTTAAAAAAGGTATACTTGTTTTCTATATGCTTTTGCATTCAGATAGTCTTGTTCTATTGCCCAGGCAGCTCTTGCTTCTTCCTTTCCACCTACTTTGTAGTATTACAGGAAGGAAAGGAGCAGCCTCTGGACCAGAATAGCTGAGCTTTATGTGGGCTGTGCTGGGTCTTTTTATACTTAACTGCACAAAAGCTCATTGCAGTTGTTTAGGAGGCAAAGAATAAACAGACTGTATTGATAAGCATAAAGGCTGAAAGATATTTGCAGTGCTTGAGGTATTAGTATACAGAGGTGTGGCACAATAAGCTGAGCTACTTCAGCAGATGGAATGGGAAGATTTTGGGTTTCTGTTTGGTTTTCTCAATTCACACTGTGCGGTTGAGGACTCAACCTGTCTCTAAAATTAAAAACATTTTTCAAGCGCTTTAAAATATTGCACCATAAGGGTAGCATTTAAGAAACAAAGAGGAGAGAAAAACACCCTCAGATTGTACTGCAAATACCTAAATCATTGCATTTATTTCTGGTATATACAAGGTCTGTGGATTTATTTTTGATTCATGTTGTTTAACATAAATTCAAAACTGTCCTGATGCTGTCAGTCTGCCAGTTCTACTACTTCCTGATTTTGTTTAAAAATAAACTGTTTTTTACCTGGTATTGCCTTGGAGGATTGTTTAAACTGTTTAAGTGGATTTCATCTGAGCTTCTTATACTTGATTGCTTCCTTTGACCAAGCTGAAATGGAAACATTATTTATAGTACAAAGTAAATAGAAGAACAATATGGTTAAATTACCTCATGCATATGTCGTATGACAGAACATTAACTGTTAAGTTCAATTTGGGGAGTACTAAATTACTGTGGTAAAGTCCTCATACCTGTGCAGAATTTCATCACAAGAGCTGAAACAAGCCCTTTCAGACTGTGATGTAGGAAAGTGAGAACTGGAAGGTTTTCTCCCTTTACTCTGCCTCTCACCTGCTCCTAACATGCCCAAGGGATCAGAGGAGAGCAGCCACCTCCCCGCGGGGTTTCCCTTGCTCCTCAGGTGCACAGGAGGGGGATCCATGTCAGGAAGAAGGCAGCACTGGTGTGGCACAGCTTTGTAGGCAATGGATGAGGGAAAGTCAGGGCAGAGTTGTAGGAGAAGCCAAGGAAGAAGGAGAGGTGGCAGCATTACCCCTTTCCTTTCTTTCACAGCACTTGCCCATAACCAATGTGACCTCCACTACCACAAAATACACGGGGAGTTTGCTTCTCCCCTCACTTGCACTAATGGCTGAATGTAATCAGTTGTGCAGTTCATGCCAGGGACCACAAAATTATCAGCTGACATTTTTGAGTAGCATCTTCTTTACTACACGTGCTGAAAGGAAAGGGCATCACTCCCCAATAAAACACCAAGGATGCAATTTGCAGGCTTCATTACTGATTTACATCTTTGTGAAGCATTAAAGCGTCACAAAATAGTGAACTGAGATTCAAGCTGAATGACTAGGCTGCAGTAAGAGTGAATAACAACTGTCAAAACGAAATGAATGATATTACTTTAAATTGATAATGGGGCGAGTTCAATGAGTAGTAGTACAAGAAATAAAAATAAAGAGAAATATAAATCATGGTTGATCTGGATGAGGAATAAGTGGGATTGTCACTAAAAAGTCAGTTCTCTGTAATTATACATGGTCCAATAAAATGTTTACTGTTTTAAAGCACGGAGCTATCATTGCAGTGTCTCAGATCCTGTGGGATCGTGTTGTACTTCCAGTGAGGTTCTCCACATTGGTTATCTCTGTGTCTTAATGCATGGAGCACCTACAGATAAGCAACCTGGGGCACTTTGAAGCCTGGTAAATAATATGTGGGAGACGCTGCAATATAGTTTGGTGGGGAGGAAAGCAGGTGAGGGTTAGATGCTTATGCAGCTGTGCAGGCATGACACACATCAAGAGAGTCCACAACACAATGCCTGATGTTAATGAAGGCTAAAGCCTTCATGTAGCCATTTCTCCTGCAACTGAAAGCATTATAACCTCTTGAGGTAAAACATGAACTTCCCAGGGTTGTACTTTGATAATAAATGGAAGTAGGAATATGGAATATGTGATAAATATTCACCAGATGTCAATTAGAAAATGATAAAAACATCTCAGCAGACAGCTTTACTGGGGCTTCGTTCTAACACACGTACTAACACAAAGGCTAAAATAAAAAACCTGGGAATTGTATAGGTGTAAAAAGGCTAAATGAGGCATCAGATTCAGTTGTTTAACCAGCAATGAGGACATCAATTAAAAGTCTCAATTCTCCCAGCTGCTGCAGAGCTTGCTCCTTAAAAGTCTTCTAGTTTTCTAGAATTCCAAATAACTTTATATTCACTTTAACAGTAAAGCAAACAAGTCTTCATGAATCTGCAAACAGGGAATAGTTTAAATACTTTTAGATTGTGTTTAGCATTTCATAGAGTCATAGAATGGTTTGGGTTGGAAGGGGCCTTTAAAGGTCATGTAGTCCAACCCTCCTGCCATGGGCAGGGACATCTTTCACTAGATCAGGTTTGTACTTTGATATTTTTTCCTGAAGACTACACTTATTGGTAAAATATATTAATTTGCAATTACTATGAAGTTAACACTGAATTTGAAATTTCTTTTTGTTCTTTAGAAAGATTCACAATATCTATATACACCTACTCTAAAAATATTATATATCTATTCAGACTATGTTTATCTGACTAAGCAAAAATAATGATAGAAGATATATAGTAGTATATAAATAGATATATAAATAATTAATATTTATCTCTAACATATTAACATGAATTTGGATGGAAATTGAATTAAAGGTGTATAAAAAGGGCAAGTTATTGTTGCTTTTTCTTGCTTGAATAAAGCTACCTTACATGTTTTGAGTGTATATTAGAAAACGTAAGTTTATCTAAACATTTTAACTTAAACTATATATCTGATTTATTATAAAAAATAGTGGCTAGTGAGTTTACACGACTGTGTAATCACTATGTCTTTCAGAATTTTAGAACTAATACTACTCTCTTGGGCCTCACCTTTACTACTAGATTAAAAGAGAAAAACAATCTTCCTGCTTTTTCAGCTCCTGGTTTCCTAACGCACAGTTTTTGGAAATAATGTAGTAGAATAAGAGGAAGCATACTCTTCCTCTGCAGTGGCAGGGGAAAGTTGCCCTGGCCAAAGCTGCTCTAGGGCGTGAGCTTGGGCTCCAGCTGTGTGTCTGGTGTCTCAGCCCTTCTGGATCTCTGACTTTTTCTGCAGCTGTGATACCATTCATGATCCTGTTACTTATCAGTTCACACATAATCTACAAATGCATTCAATTTTATGATGTATTTTTTAATATTTATTATGTATTTTAAATGTAATCTCTCATGCCAGTTAACAGTTTCAAATTTGTTACATTGGTTCACTTCAAAAGTTAATCCAATGCTTAACTAAAACTTGATTTTCACTTGAAGTAGCAAAATCGGTAATAGGTGGTGAAATGAGGTGAGACACTGCAAACTTGTAAAACCAGACACACTGTAACATCTTTACCTTAACTTTGACCCTTCAGTACTCTGCATTTTTTGAACCGAATAATGTACTTTTAATTAACTACAGAGTGCACCTTGAAAGTTGGCAAGTAAATCAGAAGTGTGTAACTTCATTAAGTCTGCTTATGTGTAACAGTAACAGGACAGATCACCTATTGTACATTGCTGAATGACCACTTGGTGGCAGAGATTGCCCAGATTTCATTATAACTTCATTTTTAGACAAAATTTTTAAACTCTCTTTAAGCTGCACGCCTATGGCTTTTTCCTCTCCCAAAAATTACTACTAGAGTAAACTCAGCCTGACATATTAATAACTGAACTAGAATTCATATTTTTAAGTTAATATCTATTGAACATCTACACAAGAGTAACTGGAGGGGGAAAAAAATGTAATTTAAATAAAGCAATGATATAAACCCTAACAAAAATAAGTCTCCTCCAGGACAGTCGTGTGAAAGAAGAAATGCAGCATACATGGACCATTGCTCTTAGAAAACACCTTCTTTAAACGTGCTTCTCATTTCATCGTTCTTTAGTATTACTTAAAATTCAATGCAATCAGAATAGTAATGTAACTACTGTAGCTGTTTTGTGTAGCACTTTGTTAACGTCTTAAATCCCAGTTTTCAGAAGCAGTTGACAACTTGGAATGCCAGTAAATTGTACGTGCTTGGACCAGAAGGGAGGGTTTCCAGAAAATGACTCAGTTTGCGCTCCCAGAACCAGAGGTCACTTGTGAAAATTTCAGAAACACTGTTTTATACTAGGAAAGTAAAAGTTAACATATTTTTTATTGTTTGAGTGAGGGTTTAAGGCTATTGCAATAATTAGTTGTTCCGTATTTCTATTCTGAAGGGCCATGTTTTACAAAAAAGGCTTAAATAGGTCATCTGCCACTATCGTTTTTTAACTCAGGAAGATGAACAAGTTCTGTGACTCTTAAACCATAAACTTTCTCATTCACAAGGCAATTTTTCAATTTAGAATAAAACTCAAAGTAGATTTCTTTAAAACTCTCCTTTTTCTTCATTTTTTTTCTCCCCTTTTTTGGTTTGAGGTTCTTGTTCACTTGACGTTTAAAACACCAATTCTAGCCTGAAACAGAAGAAATCTGTGGGTTTTAATCAACAGCCTGAAAGAAAACATCTTCACAGCCTTTATTATTATATGTAGATATGTCTCAAGAAATTAGTTTCTGGTGTGCTACACTTCAAACATAGCTATGTAAATCACTCGCCATTTAGCATTGCTGGCATCTGGCTTTGTTTTCTGCCAACGGTAATCAGGGCAGAGCCAGCTCTAAGGGAAGATTTCCCCCCCTTCCCATCTTAATTCTTGTCTTTACACCCATCCTGGTGCTGCTGCTGCTTTTGCACTGAGAAGATGCGGGCTCTGCAGGAGAAAGACCCACAGGCTGGGTCTGAATCATTACACTCAAGCGTGTGTTAACATTTCTGAGCACTGCAATGCAATGTCTTCTACCAGTAAACTTTTAGTGTCCTCCCAAGTAGGACTTACACCGGAGCAACTGGCTCTCTCCCTGGGCACAGTTTGGCAACTGGAATGGTCTGGGGACAATAGCTTGCAGCAACCCTACTTTGGGAGGAAAACTACTTGAATAGGGGCAAGCCATTCCTGAATTGGCCTCAGTGCCCAGATAAGCTCCCTGTCACATTTAATTTACTAGCACAGACACAGCCACCAAGTCTTGGGTCTGGTCTTGCCAACTCTTTTCTTATCTTTGCACAGCTCATTGTGTTTATAGTAGCTCCTTGCACAAGTAGCTCCTTGCTCAGCAGTCACAGCAGCACCAACCTGCTCAGCACAGGATGATGCTGTCAAAATCCAAAAGCCCCCGAGAATGCCTTTGAGCACACACGAGACATCTGAAGTTAATAACAATCTTGACTTTGGTGACAGTGTTTGTAATATCTGTGTTCGTTTCTATAAACTATTATGAATTTAACCAGAGGCAGAGGCACGTCAGAGGCACAGTATTCTTCCCTATAGCTCCATTTTTTCCTTCATTTTTTCCTAGGATTGCAATCAGTTTCTTTTCTCTTTTACTCTTCAACTGATAACTGTGATGGAAAAAGTGCGTGTCACATTGGTGACAGAGAGCTGACAGATGCACGTAAATTCTTTACTGGCCCCCAGTCTAATGACTAATGACTCTTGATTACAGACTCAAGAACTCCTAACCTTGAACAGGCCTCTGCTCAGACTACCGCCTATTTTAACGAAGATCCTGACACGTTAAAATTTCCATAAATGACACATTTGTTTCTGCCACCATGACAAACCTGTAATTTCTTTTTTTCTGTGAATGTTACCATATGCTCACCCTTCTACTCACTATGTCTGATCAGTTGTCTTGCAAAGCTCTTCTTCCCTAACGTGTTACAATAGTGCTAGTCTTTACACTTCCAGTACCACCTAACACCATGTGCTATGCCCGTGTTCTCCTAAGGCAATTAATTTGATTTATACCAAGACACTGCAAGAAAAACAGACCAACTATAAACTCTTTACATAAGCCCTTGAGATACAGCAGGGAATCAACTCAAGCGCTTTTTACTGTACTTGTCATGTAAATAAAACAGATAACAGAATGTTTTCCAATAAAAGCAGGATGCATTCTCGGTGGAAGTAGAGACAGGCTACAAAGGGGGAATTTAGAAACTCTGCCCAGGCATGTGAGGGTGGTGGGAGGAAAGCCAAAGGTCACCTTAAGCTGACATTTGCAAGGGCAGTAAAAAGAGCTTCCTCCTACTGCTACAATAGTATAAGGCTGAACAAGGAAAATGTGGGCCTGTTGCTCAGTGGGGCAGGGGATTTAGTGACAATGGACTCAGGTAAGGCTGAGGGACTTGATGACTTCTTTGCCTCAGGCTTCACCAATAGTCTCTCAGGCCTCTGTGCTTAGTGAAGGGATTCGAGGAGAAGGACAACGACCAGCTGTGGAGGAGGGTCAAGTCAGGGGTTACTTGAGAGAACTTGACCCGGGCAAGTCCATTCGACCCAATGGGCTGCATCCACAGGTGCTGAGAGATCACATGAAGTCCTTGCAAATATGCTATCATCTTTGAAAGATCATGGAGATTGGGAGAGGTCCCCAACGGCTGGAGAAAGACAAATGTCAAACCCATATTCAAAAAAGGCCAAAAATGATGATCTGGGCAACCACAGGCCACTAAAGCTCACTTTGGTAACTCACAAAATAATGGATTGAGTCCTCTTGGAGCACATTTTTGAGCACACGGAAGAGCAGATGGTCACTGGGAAAAGTGAGTGTGGGTTTATGAAGAGTAGAATCTGTCTGACAATCCAGATGGCCTTCTCAGATAAAATGACTGGATTTGCAGATGAGGGGAGAGCTGAAGATGTCATCTACCTTGACTTTAGCACAGGTTTTAACACTGTATCCTAGAATATCCTTGTACCTACATTAGGATGTTACTGTCTAGATGGGTGGACAACTAGACAGGCAAAATCCTGGCTGGATGGTTGTGCTCAGAGGGTATTGGCCTGGGACTTGCCCTTTTAAACATCTTTATCGATGACCAGGTGTCAGAGGTGTTGGAGTCCACTCCTGTCAAGTTTGCAGACAAAGCCAAATTTGGGGAAGGGGCAGCATATAGGCTTGAGGACAGGGATGGCATCCAGGAGGATGGGGCTGACAGGAACCCTGTGAATTTCAATAAGGACAAATGGGAAGGAATAACTCTTTCAACAACACAGGCTATGGATTGGCTGGCTGGGGAGCAGCTCTGCAGAAAAGGACCTGGGGGACTTGGGGGACAATGAGAAGGATGTTAAAAAACTGCAAGTTCAGCAGAGGGTCACCGAGGTGTTTGGGGCTGGAGCACTTGCCCTGTGAAGAGACAGTGGGGAATCTGGGCTTGTTCAGCCTGAAGCAGAGATGGCTTCAGGCATACCTAACAGGAGCCCCCAGTGTGTACGGGGAGGTCACTGAGGAGAAGGAGCTGGGCTCTTCACAGTGCTGCAGGACAGGAGGATGAGAGACAATGGACTAAGTCAAACAAGAGGTAGAAGAAGCAACTTTTTCCCCATGAGGGACAGTCAGGCGGTGGCACATGCTGCCCAGAGAGGTTGTGAAGTCTCCATCCTTGGAGGATCTCAAGTCCTGACTGGATGAAGCCCTGAGCAACCTGGCCTGACCTCAGAGTTGACCCTGCTGTGAGCAGGAGGTTGGACCAGAGACCTCCTGAAGTCCCTCCTGGCCTGAATTATTCTCTGATTCTGTGACAAGAAACAGGAAGAACTGTAAATTTACAATGGTATTTTTGGACTTTACTGATTACTTTACAGATGTAGACAAATATTTATATTAAAAAACAAAGCAAGAATTTCAGCCTGTACATAGTGACTGACTTCAGTATGGACTAAGTATGTTGGGAAATTAATCAGAAAACCAGTTCAACAAGAAAAATGATGTTAAAATTGTTTTTATCTTTTAAAATTAGCAGGCAGTATACACACTATCAATTACCTTGTTCATCTCTGCATCTTCATGAAAGCTTTTCTTTTGGCACAGAAATGGTTTAGAAATCCATTTTTTGATTCTGAGTAGGAGATACAGCAAAGATTTTGGGCTTGGCACTAAGTTGAAGGGTACTGGAAGAGTTCTCCCTTCTTCAAAGTAAGAAAACCAAAGTTTAGCCCTTGCAAATTTCCATTCTACATCAGCATCATCCTGTAAAACAGAAACGGCTGTTAATACCACCTTGACTATTAAAGATGCTCTAGCTAAACTTCATGTGTGTTTTGAATGTAATTGGCTGAAGTTAATCTCAAACAGATAAGAACTTGTTTATAATCTGTGAAAACCAAATTACAATGAATGGAACTGTTCTTATTAATCCATTTAAAATAATGCAATTACAGAAGAACAAAGTGGATTTGATTTAAACATTGGTTACTCCAGAGCGAGTGGTAATAGTCTGCAACACAGGATCACAAAGACAGACCTCTTTGTTTGGTGCTCTTTGTAAACACACTGATAAGAACGAAAGCTCTGACTTAAAAGCACACAATACAGTGCCCAATTTAGAGCTTCATGGCAACACTCAAATTAATCTATTAGGGCTTGACTGGGCAGTCACTTGTTTGGAACACTCTCATGCTCAGTAAATAAAATGGAAAAAACCTATGTTAACATAACAGAAATGTAAATCTCTCAATGAGACTACCAGCTCTCATTTCTTATCTTATTGATCTCTTCTGTAGCAATGAATCTATTATCTTTTTTGTGAAGAAGACATAGTATCAGAATTTTAAATGAAAATTTTACTCTATTACTTTAAACATGAAGTTAAAAAAGATTAGGTGATTCTTACCCAAGATTCCTTCCACTTGCTGGAATATAAGATTAAATCAGGTATGTTATCATCACCATGGTTTATGTTTAACGTTTACGATAGCCAAAACACTCACTTTATTCCTCCCTGTAAAGTTCAAGAGGGTTTTTTGCAGGAAGGACTGACATCATGTTCAAGGACATGACTCAATATTGCTGTAGCTGTTTTTAGAAGCTGTTTGTATCCAGTCACCATATTTTTTGATAATAGCCTGTTTTTTATTGCTCTGAACCTGATAGTTTGTTCTGTGGCCTCCTGAGTCAGAAGAATCTGAACCTCCCTAGAAAATGTGTGTTGCTCTTGCTCAAGCTGGACAACACTACAGCCCCAAACCAGAGCTCAGAACCTGGGACCACAGCAGTGTCAAACAACCTGAGCCTGCTGCTTTATGGCAAGGGTGTTACCTAGGAAAGGCTGGGATGGCTCCTGGAGATCTGCTTCCTTTTTTTCTAAACAATGATAATGATTTAGCCCTTTGTTTTCCATGGCCTGCAAAAGTTCATGCTGATTTTCAGTAGCCCTGCTGATTACTTTGTCAAGTAAAGTTTTGTTCACTGCAGAGGACTAGAGCAACGGTTGTTTAAATAAAAGAAGAAAACAGCATGTGATAGACTTGCTTGCAAGGTCAAGGCATAGCAACGAGAACATCCTTGCAGCAAGAGGGATGCTACTCAAATAATAACTACAAATGAGGCAAATGAAAGATTCACAACGTCACGCAATGTAGTTCCCTCTTCAGGAACATAACACAGTTCAACAGCAGTTTCTTAGTCTAGTCTAATTCTTACTATTGCAAGCACATGCAGCTGGATAATTTCCAGGTATTTTATAATAAAAACACACAGTGGAATTAATATTTTCTCCTAATATATTCCAAAAGCCTATGTGTTATTTTTCTTAAATAAGATGTCAACAAGGAAGATTTTCCAGGAGATTTAGACAATTAGCTATAACAGTAAATGTGGTGATATTTCATCATAAACAGAATTTTTACCTCAATTTCCTGGAATGAACTGTTGATCATTGCGATAAGCATGTTCAGTAAGACAATGACCATGGTAACATTATAGACTCCATAAAGGACATAACCAATATTTTCAATAAATTTGTGTTTATAATTGATGACAACTGATTTAACTTCTGAGAGTCCAAATATAGCCCAGAACAATGTCTTGAAACTTTCTTCAACACTAAAAGGAGAAATTGAACACATGCATATGTTACTGAAGAAAAGCTGTATATTCTTGTTGTATAAATTGCCAGTTACCATTTTTATACAGTGTACAAATCTTTCCATTATCGTAATGTAGAACTCTACCATAGTGATATTATGCAGAACAAGTAGACTATCTAATTTCATAGGTATAGGCTGTTTCATAATATAAGATTCCTAATATTTAGGACTGACAATAAAACCATCTGATTCAGTTTAGGAATTATATATACATCCTCAAAAGAATATCACAATGATTCACTTGTTAACTACTTCAATTTACATGCTACATGCTTGCCAGTAATGTGAATGTAAATAACAAAAATAATTAACCTGTAAATACTTTATTTTAATTGCACCATTAGTTCACTTAGTATGAATTATTTCACCATTAATATGACTAACATTCTGAAACTGTGAAGAAGACAGGATGTCTGACTGCCAATCAGCATTTTTCAAAAAAATGAGTCTCACAGACCGTAATCCTCCAGTTGAGTTTTCACTATTCCACAAACCCAGGGTAAAGATAATAAGCCATGGTGTGGGGATACCGATTTTTTTTCAGGTTAGTTCAATTAAATCCATGTATTTCCTCTTAATCCGTTTTTACATATATATATATATAAACATAAGTCCAAACCTCTGAGGTATCTTTTCCTATCTATCTCCACCTGTTTGAAGACATATTTTCTCTTGCTTTGATGAAGAGATCTCAGTTCCCCATATCCAAAAATGCAGTAGCATTGCCAAGCACATTTTGGATTTTATTGGGTTATTGTTAAGAAAAAAAAAGTTAAAAGACACTTGTAATTTTTAGTTGTGAATTTACTTGTCTGCTTATAATATTTTATCAGTATTTCATCTGTGAGTTGTAGTTTTAGGTAGTTTATCTATTGTGTGATCTAATAATAATAAAAAAGTAGTAACAATTTTTTCCCTCATGGCCAAGTTTCCTTCCTGGCTGAATATACTTCATAACAGCTATAGGCTGAATATCATGACAGCCAGAAATTAAATGGGCAAGGGCTGCAGAGCATGGAAAAGAATGAGTTTCCATTCAAGAGATTTATCTTAAAATCACAGCTAGAAATGAGAGGCATGACAAATGTAAACCAAGTAACTCCTGACAGACAGAGTAAATTCAAAATTTCTCTTCTTGGTGGGAGAAGAAAAAAAGAACAGCCAAGGAAATAGAGTAAAAAAAAAAAAGGTAATGTATTTTCTCCTCTCAAGATGTAATAGGTTATTGCCATTGGAAACTATGGAGAGCCAGAGCTTAAAATAGGGCTTAGATTTTTTTTGACTGGTAAGAATATACAGAGTTGTCTGGATTAAATGACAAGTATTTTATAATGCGTATCACACTGTAGTGATTAGCCTGCTTCAATTACAGATGACAGCAGCAGTTGATGGAGGAACCAGCCTTGCTCCCACATGCTGCAGGGAGCCCCTACACTGTGCTCTGAAGTGCCAGTGCTGACTGCCCTTGCAGGCAGGATGCTGTCCTGCAGGCCCAGGGTCTGACCCAGCCTATGTCCCGAAATCCCTGAACAACAGATTGCACTGACAGGTCATCTGACAGTGCTGTGTAAATGGTCTGAGGTACTTCTGAGCCCAACTAGCCTCCCCAGCCTAATGCAGCCCAGGAGGCTGCTGGGCTGCTTTGCTACAAGGACACATCGCTGGCTCACGGTCAACCTGGTGTCCATCAGGACCCCCAGGTCCTTTTCTGGCAAGCTGCTTTCCAGCCGGTCAGCCCCAGCCTGTCCTGGTGCCTGAGGTTATTCCTCCCCACAGGCAGTACATGGCATTTCCCTGTGTTGAACTTCACAAGGTCTCTGTCAGCCCATTTCTCCAGCCTGTCAAGGTCCTTCTGAGTGGCATCACAACCAGCTGGCCTATCAGTCACTCTTGTTCATCCATACAGGCCTCCTGACACTTTTGCTTGATTTCCTGCCCATTGAGATGGACCAATCTTGAGTGCTGAAAAGGCAATTCTTGAAAATCAACCAGCTTCCCTGGAATGCCCTTCTCTTCAGGGCCTTATCCCATGAGATTCGTCCCTGAACAGACCAAAGTCTGCTCTCCTGAAGTCCAGGGTTGTGGTCCTGTTATTTGCCTTGTTCTCTCTTCTCAGGAACCGGAACTCCGCCATCTCATGGTCAGCCAAGGCTGTTCCCAACCTTCACATATCCAAGCAGTTTTTCCTTGTTTGTAAAAGTCACAATGCTCCTTTCCGCATCAGCTCCTCAATCACTTATGTCAGGAATTTATGGTCAATGCCCTCCAGAAACCTCCCAGATTGCTTGTGCCCTGCTGTGTTGTCCCTCCAGCAGATATCAGGGTGGTTAAAAATCCCCATAAGGACCAGGGCCTGCAAGTGTGAGGCTTCTTCCAGTTGTCTGAAGAACGCCTCATCTATTTAGTCTTCCTGATCAGGCATTCTGTAGCAGACATCCACTACAACATCACCCGTGTTGGTCTGCCCTCTAATCCTGACCTATAAGCTCTTGCTGGGTCATCATCTATCCCTTGGAAGAGGTAAAGGCATTCC